TTTTCAGTATCTGTAAAAAGACTCCAGTGAAAACCGAAGCATTTCAGGACTGTCCTAACATGTCTTAAGTATCTTCAGAGCAATCTGAAGTCAATGAGTCTGTCAGTACTGAGATGTTAAGTAAATTACCAAAAGCTTCAAGACTATCTTGGAATGCTTCAAAGTTTTTACAGCATTATAAAAGGGATATGTGTGACATTGGTAAAGCTTAGTATTAGGATTCATGAATATCCTGAAAAGAATTGATCCAACACTGGTGTGTAACTAGAAACATTTCGTATTGTGCTTTCATTTCCCTGAGTTTTCTCTTTCTTATTCTTCTTCTGGTCTCAATTATGCAAGAAATGGTATTACTTAATATTAAGACAGGTGTTGGTGACTATAATAAACACATATGAAAAAGTTTAGAGGATCTTGAAGTCTTTTAATATAGTCTAGGGTGGTTTTAGGTACTACAGTGCAGCCTTGAATTATTTGTAAGATTTTCAGTAAACCTAGTATCTGCTTGAATATTCTGAGAATTTCAGGCAAAACCAGAAATGGTTCAGAATCTTTACATTAGCCTGAAATGATTTAATTAATATTAAAAGGTATTTAGAGAAGCTAGCTATGTTTCATGAAGGCTCTGGAAACTTTCAGTCTCTCTATAAAACTTCAGTGATGACCGAAACGTTTCAGGACTTTCCTAGCATGTATAGGTATCTTCAGAGCAATCTAGATTTGTATATCATTTTTTCAGTAACCCCAACATATTTTGTGAATGTTCTGAGATGTTTAATAAATCAACAAAAGTTTCAGGGAAGCCTAAAAGGTCTCAAACTTTTTTACAACATTCTTAAAATGGTTTTAAGGGCTATGTGTGTCTTTAGGAAAGCTTATTAGGTTTGACGAAGATCCTGGAAATAATTTATTCCATAATCCAATACTAGTGTGTAATTATGAGATTTTTTCTTTATTGTTCATCTGGTGGTTTCAATTAAGAATTTAAGGTAGCATCTAGTATATTAAGACAGATATAGGTGATTGCAATAAACACTTATGAAGAAATTAAGAGAGGCCTAAAGTGTTGCAATGCAGTTTAGGATGGATTTCCAGACAGCCTGAAATTGTTTGTGGTGCTTGCAGTAAAATTAGTATACATTTATATAAAAGCTTGTAGCAGGCCATTTCAGGCTCATAGCTTAGTAATTCTCTTCCATCTCCTTCTTTCTCTAGCTTCTTTTCTTCAATTTTCTATCTTCTCCTCGGTCTGCTTCTTTTCTTCTTATCCTTCGGTATTATATATGCTATGTTATTCACCTCTTCACTGTCCTCCATTCTAGAAAGATGACCTAGTCACTGCAATCTTCCAGCTTTGACAAAATCGCCTATTCTCTCTTCGCCGAAGATTTAATAAATTTCAGCATTTGTTTTTCGCTCCCATGGAAGCTCCCATGACTTTCATTATCATGTTTCTTAAATTCTTTAAATATTTAGATTACTATAGAAAACTTTATAGCAGCCTGATAAAGTCGTGCAGTCTGATAATGCTCTGCAGAAACAGATGAAACCTAGAAGGTTTCAACTGCTTCTGCACAGTATTTAATAGTATTAGTTATGTATCAGTCTTCCAGAGATACTAGCATATTCCATCACTAGTGCTTTGGTGATAGTCAAATTCAGAAAGTCTGATAAAAGACTCAAAGAGCCTAACTTGATACCTTAAAATGCTTCATGATCTCTTAAATGTCTGGGTGAAGAGAGATAATATCTTCATTGGTAACACCAGAAGGTTTATGAAAGTATAGATCAGTTAGAGAGGGTTTCTAGGTTCTATATGTAGCTTCCTCGAACCTTGGAATCTCTTTGAGTACCTCTGGAAAAATTAAATCGGTATCTGATATGTTTTAATGAAGGCTGACATAATTTATGAACTTTCAGTAACCCTAAAATGTTTAATGAATGTCCTGAAATAGTTTGGCACCCTCTACGAGGATTGTAATGTTTTTAATAATATTCTAGAAGGTTTTAGGTATTACAGTGAAACATTGAACGATATTAAGATAGGTTAGTTGCTTTAGAAGAATCCTTTAACATTTTTAAATGCTTCTGGAGGACTGCAGTAAGTCCGGAAGGTTTTTCACTGCAGCAGATCTCCAAGCGTATATTATGGACGCTTGGGAATACTTTTAAATCTCTTCATAACTTGTGAAAATTATAGAATTTTGAAGAATTGTTCTAAAAGGTTTTAAAGGCTTTAGGGTAATCTGGAGCTATGTATATGTTTTATGAATGTACTGGAAATTTTCAGGACTTTTGAAGCTAAAAAGTTTTTAAAACGGCCCTAAAACATTTTAAAAGCGTATGAAATACATTCAGGAATGGTGAAGTAATTTAGAAATGTTCTTGGAGCTTTTTAAAAGAGATGGCTCTGGAATATTTCAGGGATTTTATGAGAGACTAAAATTTTTTTTGGAATATGTATGGAGAGCGTTCAGAAATTATGGTATATTTATTTAATAATGTAGAAGGAAGTGGTACCTCTGAAGAACTTTATTAGCCTGTGAAGCCTAAAATGTTTTAGGAACATCCTAGGAGGCTTTACGTGAAGTTTGGAATAGTATGAGCTATAAATAGGGCTTCCAAGAATCCTACTAGAACAAGAAATGACTATTTGTGTCTTTGTAGAACATATGTAAAGTGAAAGATTGTTCTAAAAGGTTTCAAAGGCTTCAGAGCAAGTTGGACCGATGTATAATATTTTCAAGAATAAACTGGAACTATTTAGGACTTTCATAAGTCAAGAGGAGGATTACAGGCAGTTTAAAGTGATTCAGAACTGTTCCTAGATGTTCTAAAGCACTTATGGAAAGCCTGGAATAAATTGGAACTGTTCTGAAATATTTCAGAAACTTTTTTAAAGATAAAAGGTTTTTAAAACTGCCTTGAAAGATTCCAAAAGGTTTTGAAGGACTACAGGTAGTTTGAAGTAATTTGGAACTGTTCCTAGATCTTCTAAAGCATTTTTGGAAAGTCTGGAATAAATTATAACTCTGTTCTGAAATATTTCAGAAACTTTATTAAAGGTAAAAGGGTTCTAAAACTGCCTTAAACGATTTCAAATGCTTTTGGAGGACTACAGGCAGTTTGAAGTAATTCAGAACTGTTTCTAGATCTTCTAAATCACTTCTGGAAAGCGTGGAATAAATTGGAACTGTTCTGAAATATTTCAGGAACTTTATTAAAGATAAAAGGTTTTTAAAACTGACTTGAAAGATTCCAAAAGGTTTTGAAGGACTACAGGTAGTTTGAAGTAATTTGGAACTGTTTCTAGATATTCTAAATCACTTCTGGAAAGCGTGGAATAAATTGGAACTGTTCTGAAATATTTCAGGAACTTTATTAAAGATAAAAGGTTTTTAAAACTGACTTGAAAGATTCCAAAAGGTTTTGAAGGACTACAGGTAGTTTGAAGTAATTTGGAACTGTTCCTAGATCTTCTAAAGCATTTCTGGAAAGCCTGGAATAAATTGTAACTCTGTTCTGAAATATTTCAGGAACTTTATTAAAGGTAAAAGGTTTCTAAAACTGCCTTGAAAGATTTCAATGCTGTGGAGGCAGTGTGAAGTATCCAGATATATCTAGTCTTTAAATACTTCTGGTAAGCCTGGAATAATTTGAAATTGTCCTGTAATGTTCCAAAGACATTACCAGAGTATTACTCTGAGACACTTCGAGGCTGGTAAAATTCTATTACAAACTCCTCACTAACGGTTGTAATCAAAAAAGCAAAATTATAAAATTAAATTTTGTATCAATGTTTTCACTTCAATTAAACGAAAATGGGCCACTACTGGTTCGGGGTTCCCCCAATTTATTTTAATATTTTCAGTGATTTTTTTAGTAGAACTTATTCTTTTAAATAAGAAGGACTAGGTATATGCTAAAACAAAAAGTTGTGGTTGTTTTACATCTGAAACATACTGCATTTTTAATATTTCTAAATAAGACTGCTTATGGATATTGTTCATCCCAAAAATATTGATAAATCGTCTTTTTGGGTAACCTGGTTTACTACAATTTTTATAAAATATATTTTTATATTGATCTACGAGTTTTTGGACACTATGTATTCTTTTATTTATAATGATATAGTACATTAACAAGTTTTACAGTCATATTTTTACATCTGGTGGGCGATTTCGGGGATTTAGATTTCAAAAATAAGTCGAAAACTAGTTGTGAGGCATCGGCCAAAAAGTACCACAATTTTTGATTTACACAAGAGCGAAAACAAGCATTTCTTAATCGTATAAACAACAAAATGCTTGGTTGAAAAACATCTAACATTAATTTTTTACTTATTACGCTGAAAAGTGTGTTTTATTGTCAAAATAGGTTTTTATTTATCAAGACGTTACAACAAACTATAGATTTTAGAAAAAAATTAGTTTTCTAAATCTATTTTTGAAAAGAGCTTTACAGCCAATGAAGAAACACATTTATCGAGAAAATATTTACTTTATTATTTACTAGAACCTTTTCGAAGTGCCAAGAATTGTCCAAATTCAAAATTTATGTATAAAAAATTAAAACAATCTAAAATTATACTTAAATCTAAGAAATACGACGAAATAAGACGAAATATGATATGAAGTAGTTGCGATAAGTTTATAATGCCATAAATATAATGCCAAACGTCAAATGTCAAATATCTAACGTCAAACTTCAAATGTAAAATGTCAAACACCAAACATCCAATAATAAACTTTAAATATTCAATGATTTTACGTCAAACTCAGTACGACAAAACCTATTCGTCTTTTACTATTTTAAGGAACCAAGGAAAGCGTTTCCAAAGACTTAATGCCAAATCAGCTAACAAAATAGAGAAAAATTTATCTTTTAAGCAATTAAAACTGACTATTCTTGGCCTCGAAAAGGCATTTGACACAATATTGTAGTACTCTTTTGACAGATTGGTTGAAACAAAGCGTTTTGTTGTTTTAGATTTATGCTAACTAATGATACTTAAGCGAAGTCCACACAATCTGACTAGGATGTTCTACGCCGCCGATTTCGCAATTGACAGTTCTGGATCTGCCGTTGATTACGAAAAGAGCTTCGTTGGCCGGTGTTACCATGTACTGACAGAATCCACCTAAAACACAAAAGCAAATAACGTTAAAAATGTTCGATTTGTTAGTTTTTGGTTAAATTTAGTGTAATAAATGATAAGTATAGAAGAATATAGAGTTGTAACTGCAATAACAGCTTATTTTGCTTCTCAGAACTTCCTTAACGGTCATAGAATTACACCTCATATGTTCAGCATTATCAATCGCAGAACTCGAGTCGGATGCATTAAATAATTAACTATTCATAAGATAACATAAGGATTTTCACAAAAGACTGCTTGCAATTAAATGATGGTAACTTATACTAGCGGACCAGATAAGCGGCGATATATTTACACTACCTTATGAATAACATTTTACTGCTCTGTTGTTTCAATCAACACTCCTCAACAAGTTATCGTTTATTGGTTTATAATTTTATTGCAATGTTAATTTTTTTTTAATTTCTTCTGACGTATCGTATAATGTAGGTTTACCCAATAATCAAAGTTATGCATTTACAAAAACATATTATTTGAAAAATAAATAGTAAATACCATGTGTCATAATAATTGTAATCTCAGGAAAAAAGACAGTTAAGATTTTATACACACTTAAAAATTTGTTTACTAATGTATTTCTTAAATCCACATAATCATTGAAAAATGATTCATGCTGTTTAAAATATCTTTCTGTTAACGACAAAGTAGATCAAATTCAAACGTCATCATATTTCTTTTTGTTTATCGTTAAAAATTAATTGATGGTCGTGGGTTGTATTTTTGTTTTTAATAATTTAACAAAATACATAATCAGCAAAAACCTTATTTAAAACATGCGAACGGTTTTTGCAATCACAATCAGTACAGTGTTTATGTTGGTTTAGCATTGGCTGTTAAATAACTTGTGTTCGATTGTTTTTAGTCCTTAAACCTCGTCCTTTATTAGGGTGTAGTAGTTGTATATAAGTACCTATTTTTTATAGTAGTGTAGCGAAGTGGTACTTTAAAACAAAATGAGTAATTTGGAAGAAAATAAAATACAGTCGAAACGTAGAGTGTTATCTCCAGAAGAACGGCGTTTAGTTCTAAAAGTCGAAAGTTATTTCAATTTAGAAAAAAATAATATGGGTCCAATGACATCTGTTATGGCAGTTCAGAAACGCACATGCGATGCTTGCGGTATCTCAGATAGAACATTTTTTTTTGAGCTGCCACAATATCGTCTATCATTTTTGTTTTTTTTTTAACTTCAAGATCTTAAAAAAGCAAATATTACGGATAATCTTCTAATATACAATATAATAGAAAAATTATTAAGACAAACTAAACAGGCGTTAATGGAGATATAAAATATCACAGACAATTAAGGCACAGTTAGTAAAATGTTTGGAACAAATAATAAATAAGGGAGAAACAAAAAAATAATCATGTGGCGATAAAAAAAATGGTGCCTAACGTGGGGATTAAGCCCAAAATTGTCTATTGGTTATATATAATGACTGCTAAACATGATTATTTATACGTCACTTTTTATTTAAAAATAACGCCAGGAAAACAGCAATACAGTTGAAAAAAATCCAAAGCCTTACTTACTCAGGAATCACGAGTATAACATCATAGGACCCTACTGTAGCCAAGAGCAAGAAAAAAGATTATGAAGACCTACTCGCTGTGATAAAATACGTAGCATTTCAGCAAACTAAACTTGAAGTTACGTCAAAAATGCATGTAACGGATCTTTTTAAAAGTTGATAAAAGACTTTCTTAAAAGTTAAAAGTCTTTATAATCTTTGGGATCAAACGTACATGTAGTCTAAATACCATAATAGATCTTTTAGATTAAAGTTTAGATAGATCATCGTAGCTAAATATACAATAAAAATATGAATAAATATAGCCAACTTACTAGCTGCTCTTATTGGTCTACTTGGGTTATTCCACTTCGTAAGATGCATAGGCATTGCTCTTCCCACTCCTGTGATCATTTCGACTTTACCTAAAAGCAAACAACAACATTATATATTTAATAAAGTGTTCAGACTTGTTTCAGCTCATTACCTGTTAGAAGATTTAAGAATAAGATTCCTTCTTTATCTTGAGCTGATGCGTAAATGTCATAGCTATGTGTAGTCTGACTTGGATAGAAGGTTATATCGGAAATATTCAAAGTGGTTTTGACGTCAAAACTGAACATAAGTCCGTTTGCTAAAAACAAAAATACCTTGCTTTAAACTGCTATCAACGAAAGCAAATTGTTTTTACTGCATTCCCGCGAGACTAAAACTTACACAATATTATTGGTCAAAATATTTATTTTTTGATTGCTATCGACGAAAAACATTTTTTTTCATCTGCGTGCCAGCCAAAACTAGTTTTTTTCGTCGAAACTTTAATTGCAATAATAGTTTTTGTGGTTTCACAAACAGAATTAATTTCTTTGTCTTTGCCCATTGTAAAGTTATTATTTTTTACGTTCATTATGAGAAGTTATAGCCTTGGTGGTTACAAATAGAAAAATATATTTCGTCGTCACTCATTCAGTCACATGTATCACTAAAGCTACTACAAATAACGTATATTCAATAAACTTGCTAAATAATTGTACTGTTTGATCAAAGGTTTTCTACTATTACTCTATTGCCTGCTTTATAAACTTTGTATAGTAACAAAATCCGTAATGAATCAGTTTGAATGTCTTTGTTAAAAATAAATAATCGAATTATAATTTGGCTTACGTGTAATTTCCTGGACTATTAATGTAGACCCACTGCTAGTCGTGTCCAGAGTCACTAATCGTCTAGAATCTGGCGAAATATAAGGCTCTCCTGGCAGGTTCGGTTTGAGTGAAATAACACTGTCAGTTAAATAGTCTAAGATGAGTTGTCCTGTTGGTCTATTAGTTATTGGTTCTATGCACTGCATTATTACCATACCATCTAAGAACAAAGAAAAAAATATGTGTTGGCATATTATAATTTTACTATTATAGCAATACACTGCAGTAAATATTATTACGGTAATTAAGGTAACATTAGAATCATCATCATCATCACCACCTATGTCCACTGAGCCGCCTCCTAAATGAGGAGGCCTATGTCCACTGCTGGATATAGGCCTCCTCATTTTTGTCGCAAATGAAGTGGGTAGGTCCTCTACATGCTCTTACGTCATACATTTGCAGTTAGTAATACATTTACACTGTTTACATAATTTGCAGTTAGTAAATGGCAGGCAAAAAAAAGCCGAAGATTTAGCGAAAAAATCGGGCTAAAATAATGCGGGCAAAATTTACAAAAATCGAAATGAGAAACTAAAGAGTGGACAGAAAACGTAAAAAGCTGTAAAAAATTTGAAACGATCAACCGCTAGGAAAGTAAAGATTTGATTAAGCTTTCTTTTTAACCTAATGAGTTTTCAACAAAGACGAAACATATCATATCGCAGTACGAACGGACAGACTTTTGGAGTGAAGACAGTCAAGAATGCCTTTTTAATTTGGTCGAGCTGTCAGAAATTACTTTGAGGTCAAGTTTGTCAAACTGCTATGCTTAATTGTCAACGAAATAATTACATAAAATGAAAATGATATTAAAAATGACTTTTATAATCTTAAACTGCTAGAAAAATATTTTTAAACATCTTTCAGACAACAGAGAAGAATAACAACATCCTTTATGTTTTTATTGCCTTAGTTTTAAATAGCATTAAACTTAAATCTGCTATTTCCAACTCTTCTACTTTAACCAGACATATCTGTGTCTTGTAATACACCCCGTATATGTACATATACAAAGTAAACAAACAATGCAATGGTTAGAGACAGTATTCAAGCATTATAATACCGAGATTAGATATGTAAATCGAAAATTTAATACCCGAGTAATGTATAAAATGTAATCTCTAATGAACATGGCGCAGTCGGTATATCCTAACCATTATCGCTCAACAAATATTTACCTAACAGCATAAGTTCCCAGATTAAAGCAATTTTGTAAATCATCTTAAAGTTCGTCGATGCTTTTAAAGTTTAGAGTGGAAGTTAGAGATAATAAACTTACATAATGATGAAAATCTGACTTGGGTCGGTACGCAGTTGTAAGGCGTAAGATCCACCGAACTGGTGTATCGCAGATTTACCAGATCCAATTTGTACAATCCTCTCTGATTAGTATGAGTCACGTATCCGTATTTAAAGCTGTAGTGAGCCAGTTCCTGGAAAAGAAAGGATTATATGTACGTAAGCCAACTACGTTGCTTTATATAAAATAAATTCGTAGAACTGACTGTAAAACGGTGTTATCTAAACTTAAAACCCTTAAATGTACATAGTAGATAGACACTTTGTCTGTTATGTACCGGTTGGATAACTAAGAATTCATTATAATACAGGCTCGGGATAAAATTTTTTATAACAAAAGTGGCCTTGAAAAAAATCTGAAAATTATTTATACAGTTGTAGATACACCGCTAGATGGCGTGCATAAATTTAAACAATCAAAAAATATTTCAAATAAAATTTATCAAATTAACGAGCACAAGAAATATGATTAAGGTAAAACTACCTATTAACGGCCTATACAAATTCGTGATGTAAATCCGGCATATTAAAAAAATTGAACTTCTTTTGTAAATACGTTTAAGTTGGTTAAACTTAATACTATGGCGCGTGTATATCCTAGCAAGAAATATATTAGGCCATTGTTTTATGTTGTAGCATGCAGAAAATTCCTTAAAAACTATCTTATATTCAAATAATGAAAAATTTTCTAGTAAGCTCATGGGCTATATATAACTGTCTCTGTTTACACTCGATGTTCCCCAAGAAAGAATTTGGCTACGAATTTAAATAATTCATTTATTACGTATTAGTTCTACGATTTTAAAAAAATCTTAGATTCAAGTTCGTTTTGCGATATATTTAACAAGAATTTCGGCTGTTAGTCCCTTCGACTGGATGTGGGTAAGGAAAACGGTAGGAAAAAAAAATGTTTTTGAGAATTCAAGTTACTAAGAGAGATAATGAGGTATGACGCTTTCCACAGATGAAAGCACAAAAGACCTAGACAACAGATAGTCGATTAAAATAAAATACCAGAGAGAGAAGTAAACCCCTTCCCCCCGATGGAAACGTAACCCAAAAAAACACCAGAGAGAGAAGAAATCACAAAAATCAATACACAAAACACAAGGAAGATAGTTCGTAGCTCAAAAATCCACGATAACGCATATCGCCAAATACACAGTGGGCCCAGTTGCTCACACAAGGATAGAGTCTGTATTGTGGTATTGTATAATATTACTTTATTTTGTAGCATTTTCAATTTCATTGATTCTTTGAAGTATATTGAAAGCTCCTCGTATAATGAAATATATTAAAAACTCCTTATATATGTTTAAAAAATAAAACGAGGAATTCTTTCGGTTTTTGTTAGTTCGTATCTTTCAAGTTTGAAATACGCATATTTGTCTTAGCATTGCTGGAGGTTAATGTAAACCATTTTAAAGTTGTTTATTTATTTTAACTTTCTCGGCAATTTGTTTTAATGTTCATTGGAAGCCGCGTTATAATTTCAAATACGTCGCAAAAGGATATTTACGTTCTAATTTCGTTGTGTTTTGTTATGTCAGCGTTTGTCTTATTTTCAATTTAAGATCGAATTTTTAAATTCGTCATTCATACTCGGGCCTTCGCAGAGTGAGGCCCTTGTGTTCTTCTGTTTTTTTGGTCAATTTCGTAGAAATAAGTAGCAGTAGTCGTGAAATTTTATCCGTTATGAAGTGACCGGCATAATTTCCCAAAATTGGTGTAGTTTTCGCTCGATGTAATATGTCATCTTAGAAAGAGTGACCACTGTTTCGTTTTTTGAAGATTTTAAGATGTTTAAAAAACCTCGTTCCTGTTTATGTTGCTGTTCCAACCCCCAATGGATGTTTTCGCTGATGATGTCAATACTCCAGAAATGTGACAAGTTTTTTTTGTTAAGTGAAAATCAAGGTAACTGTTTTTGTTTGTGTTCAAGATTTAAAGTAAAGACAGACAATTTTTTTATAAAATAATAATTGCTTTCGTTGAAATTTAAAAATTGTTACATTTAAAATTGTAAATTTTAGGTTTTGAGTTGAGCTGTCAATTTGTGTGTTTAGTTTTTTTTTTGAAATTTAATGTTAACTTATGACAGCTCGTTTTTTATTAATTTGCGAATTATTTGCGTTTATTATGCGAAATGAATCCAGATATGTTCTCCTTTAAGCCATCCTGTAAGGAAAAATATTTGGAAAGCGAGGTCCAGGAAGAAGACCATCTTGGTTAAAGAACTTCAGAATCTGGTTCAATACAACATATGTGCAGCTATTCCGCGCTGCTGCAGATAAGATAAATATTGCCATGATGATCGCCAACATTCGTAGCGGATAGGCACATCAACAAGAGCAGTGTTTTACCATCGGCACTCCAAGTTTTGTGAGCTAGGTACTTTAACAAGTTAAGACCATTTCGACATAAAAGAACTTACTGCCGAATATGACTTTATCAATTTAACTGTTGATCAAATATCATTCCTAGAAATTTTATTTCGTTTGTAAAGAAAAGATTTTCGTTTTCAAACATTAGGTTTGGTTTACCCTCGATATATCTTCTGGAAAATATGATTTTTTTTATCACAGCAAAACCTAAAACCGATACTTAGGGACAAATTTACGAGTTTATTTAAGTGTTCTTGTAATATATTTTTTTTTATTTAGAAATTACAGGCGCATCCACCATAATGGTTATTAGCGGCGGCTACAGAATTACTAAACTAGAGTTTATAAAATATTCCTATAGATTTTAAGAAATTTACAATATTAATAGCTGAAAAATTAGTGCCTAATAAATTACTTAAACTGTTAGGTATGTTAAATGTAACACGAAAATTGGCAAATCTATGGCATTCAATTAATAAATGGTTAACGGTTAATTGTACATTACATGTTTCGCAAATAGGTGGATCATTTTGGACAATAAATATTAGTGAGTAAGTCTCGTGTGTCCAATTCGTAATCTCGTTATCACCAATTGTTCTCTTCTATTCCATGTTGAGGGTTCCCAAGCTGCAACGTCATTTTTAATTTGCTTCAGTGATGTTTGAGAAGATTGCCATTCGTTTTTCCACTTGCACAAAACTCCATTTTTTATAAAAGCTTTCCGAGTATTTCGATACTCGGCTTTCTATATCGGCACATTTAGCAATTTCACTCGCGCACTGGTCCGCACTATCGTTGCCTGCAATGCCAATGTGGGATGGAATATGGAATCCATATAAGTCTGATATTCCTAGAATTTTATTGAGCCTGCATGAGTTATAGTTTTATCAGTTTCTCAAAGGGACCTTTAGGATAGATCTGTTTAAGGGTTTGAAGGACGCTTAGTAAGTCACTTAAGATAACAGAATTAGGAATGACATTAGAATTTATATGCATGATAGCTTTAAACATTACATAGAACTCAGCGGAGACAATCGAAAAGAAGTTTGGAAGACGAAATTGATATGTATCGCTTGGAGTAACGAATGCAGCACCTACTCCTTTATCACACTTAGATCCATCTGTAAATATTTTATAGCAATGTTCGTAATGCTGACGGAGAATTAGATCTAGAATATTCTTAATCTCTGCGTGACAGTTAATATGTTTGTCGTATTGGGTTAGACCAGTGTTTATATTTGGGGTATTGATTATCCAAGGAGAGGAGCTTTTAATATTGATTGGAAAGGTTATTGGGAATTCGATATTAAGATATCTCAGGTAACACCGTACTCGCTCATAGTAAGGCTTATGTTTGGTACTATTGGTAAAGAGATATATATATATATATATATATATATATATATATAAGTATAACGTATATATATATAAATATAGAGATTTGTTTACATTTGAGGCTATTGACGTTGCGTGTGATAGTGTTAAGGAAATTCGACGGTGATATAATGAAGGTTCCCCACTTACCGAATATAAACTTTCCACCGGTCATATTCGAAATGCGCCAAGAGAGAGTCTAAGTGCTGTGTTATGAATAGAGTCTAACTGTTTTAACATTGTGGGGGAAGCAGAGACGTAAGCGATTGATCCATAATCAATTTTTGATCTAATTAGAGTTCTGTAAATTGTAAGTAAGGTAGAGAGGTTCTTGCAATATTGACGCCATACGATTAACGTTATTGACGTGATGTAAATAATTATTTAATCAGCATATAATGCCTGAATAGGTTTCGCAATGATTTTTGTTATATCGTTTATTGTTAATACAGACTAGGACTGATAATCGATCCTTGTGGGATTCCGTTTAATTATTCTCTAAAGTAGAATATAGCCTCATTTGCTCTGACTTGAAATGTTCTTTGAGTTAAAAAAATGTTTGTAATGTTAGTCTCTAATATTTTTTCTTTTTTAAATTATCGCTGTATATATTAACCTTCCTGTAAATATACCCGAGTCACTCATTAAAAACATACTGCTCGTTTTTCTGAACCTTTAATGAAGCTGCCTTTTTCTCACTGACTTTCTGAGTACATTCAAGCTATTGTGATTTTCTCGGATCTCGCAATCTTAATAAACTTGACCCAGTTTTTTATCCCATGAATATTTATATCGTTATCATGAAGAGACAATGTTCCTAACGATTATCGCACTTTCTCTCCTGCCTGCATCGGATAGAAGAGTAATGTGATTAAATACAGGATTGTGTTGGAAATTGAGTTTTTAGAAGGAAGTAAATATTTAGGCGCTCGCTTTTGGAAGTTCGTTTTTTGTTGTTTAGGGGCAGTTTTGTAGTGGATTAATAAAGACAAAAAAATTACGGGATGACAAATGTTTTCTATATAATCATCAACAGACTTCAAGCTTTTTTCTTCTGATTTATTTCGTTTACGGCATTTGTCGAATTTACTCAAAGGAAAAAAGTTTTTATAACGAATATTGCATTTGTACACGATCTCCCACTATGAAAACTTGTGATTTATTAGCACTTATAAAATTTTAGTTGTAAGTTTTAGCGTAGTACTATCAAGTTTATACCTCTGTAGTTTTCTGGTTGTTTTTTATCTCTTATTTTGCATAGTAGAATTAGTTCACTCGTTTTCCATTATTCTGGTATTTTATTGTGTTTTATAATTTTATTAATTAATGTTCTTAATTGTTCTGTCATTGCTGCTTCACAATATGTCAGTTATTTGTTTGGTATCCCGTCTTTACCTGCTTCTTTTCTGTTCTTCAAGTTTTCAAGTATTTTCCGACCTTGCTGTACATTTATATTCTTCTTTTAAGTTTTTCATTTGTGGTAATTTCTACGCTGTCGGTTTTAAGGTCATAAAATAGTCATAAACCATGGACAAATGATCGCATTTCACACCTTCGTTCTCATAAACGGACATTTCCTTTTTCAAATTCTTTTCGTAATCTTTTTAAGAACCAGTTTTCTTTTGTTATAAAAGTTTTCTTTCTCTCGTTTTAGTTCAATCTCAAGTTCTTGTTCTAAAGTAAAATTCACGGGCTCTGGATTAGCTGGCATATCTTCTACTTCCATTATGTCCTCTTGTACTGTTTCCACAATCACTTGTTTATTTATACGACTTAACAAATTTTTCTTCTCTTGTCGCATTGCATTCTTCTTCGGCATGGGGAAATAACCAGGATTGTTTAGTCTTTCGTCATACTTTTTTGGATTTAGTAGGGACACTAATGTGCCTGTAATTTCAGAGAGGCGCCCTTTCGCGATTCTGTTGCATAATGTTTCCGATATCTCGGCACTAAGGCTAGATTCCTGGCTATTCAGTTTGTCTAAGACAAATTTCAAGGTTGTGTCGGCCGTTATCAAAGTGAACTCTCTTCTGCAAAGAACTTCTACAGCCAGTTTCACCAGTTGAAGAGTGGCGATCAATTCATTGATTATTGACCACTCGCTAGCAGAGAATTTTATCGCAGAATCAATGTCTATCAACGCTTTATCAATGCAAACTTTTAGGCTGTAGAAACGTTCCAGCATACTGAGCAAACTGTTCCACCTGGTGAGGCAGTCAAGAATCAAACTTAATTCCTTGCCTTTCTCTTCCTTGACATATTTTTGCAAAAACATGTCGTCTTTGGTAGGTGATATTTTGAACGTTTTGTGAACGTTTCATGAGTAGATCGCTGTAACGGGGAATCAATTTAACAATACTCGCCGATGTTGTTGGTTCGATTTTTACTGCCAATCCTTCATTCATCTCTGTCTCCAAATCTTCATTTTTGTCTTCATATTCATCAGTGTCGTCTATTGCTGCTTGTTCTACTTCTCTTTGAGGTTTCTTTTTATACAGCACGTCTACTACAGCCAAATGAATTCCATGTGCATAGCACAGTTATTGATAGCAAGGCATGAACTTGCCAATTTTCACCATGACGCATGCGCGGTCGGCCCGTCGTTTGTAATACCGTGTCGGATTCAATCATTAAACCAAAAAGTTTAACCGTTCTGCCACTAATTCAATGTAGTTCTCAGCAGTGCACGAGCCGTGATTTCTGATCAAACCTAGAATAAAATGTTCTGCATTGTGCAAATTGACATTTTTGTATCTGTACAAAAAGGGTGTACATATGTGGGAAATTATTAGTATAATTTCCGTGTATGTGGACTGTATTATATAGGGCTGGTTCAATAAAATTAGGATAAGTAATAAAAGGTATACAGACAATAGCAAATTAAGTTTATAGAAAGTCTTACCAATATTTTTTCTGCTCCACACTCTCACGGTTGTTTCCGGTCTTCACTCGTGGTTATTCTTCACCCGCGAAATCTGTCCGATGCACCGGTTTCTGAACACGTGTTTCGCAAATATATCACGATATAGAGCACACTTTGTCTGCACACGATTTAATACAGTATTTTCGATATTTCTCGCGTAACTAAAGCGGGAAAGAGGTAATTACGATAGAAAAACAGCCAAGATAGATGCTGTTCTTCTTGATAAGCGAAGAGAGAGAGAATGAAAGAGAGAGTACGTCTGGCTCTAGCGATGGCCAAACTAAGAGAGTGAGAATGGTCTGTCCTTAGCGACAGACGACCATCGAGAGAGTGTCTTTCTTCTTTGCTATCTTGAAACTGTCTGTATTTCTTAAGAGAGGGGGTTGAACTGTAAGTAGGAAGGGTTATTAAGGGTTGGACTAGGATAATGATTGTAAAATTGTGATATAAGGATAGTTAATAATACAGCGAAAAAATGACATGATTTTTCGCATGTGAAAAAATTGAACAGTATCTGTGATTTTTTTGGGAGCTCCACTCGTCGAAGCTCAACGAAAATCTTTGCCCTTTTTGTTTTAAATTAGTAAATTCTTTTATAAGATTTGCTTGAACTTTCTCTGCACTCCTGTAAATTATCGCTCTTATAGTGTTCGGAGAAGTTGGTAATTATAATCCACTTTTTGTGAATACCCGTCTCAAGTCGGGTAAGGTACAAAATGAACTGAATGAAGCTAAAACCATCTTTGCAAACCATTCTAGTAACCATATCTTCTATAGAATTTTCTCTTTTAAAGTAGGAATCAATAGTCTTGTCCTTTTAAGCCTGTTGCTGAGCGGTAGCTAATCAACAATTTTTTGAGCATAAATAGCATCTTGCACTTCGCCCCTCATCTAGTTTTGTGAAATAGTCTCACAATTTTTTTTTTATTATCTTCAAGAGACATTTTCATTAATATTGGAGTAACTGAACATTAAATCTGAAAAAAGAGTCTGTGAAATAAGATGTAGGTATAACTCGTCAAAGAAACAAATTTAAATGACAACGGCTATCTGAACGTGAGCGTGAATGAGAAAACAAGAACGCCTGATATATGTGTAGGCCTTAGTCTTGGTGTGAGAGAACAAGCATGACCACCGGCAGCCCTTTATATACTGTTTATTTATCTGGACGAGTTATATTTGTTGAATGTTTTGATTAAAAAAAAAAACTAAAATTAAGGGGTTACATAGGTCGTGAGGGTATAAAAAAACGACTTTTCAAAAAAATTATATCTCAAAAACTAAAAATTATTTTTATTTGTAATTAAGACATATAAAAGCATAGTACTTGGCGTATACTGAAAAAAGAATTTCAGCCAAAATATTCATTTTTGTTAATTTCACAGTAATTTTTCGCCAACAGCCTTTTTCTTGCGGTGGATATGATAACTAGGTCTAGCTTTATCTGAAATCGAACAAATAAAATTTTTCTTGCAATTTGTACCTCTGGCTAGTAAATAAATAAAGGAATTTTCATTAGGTCAAGTCGTTTTTGTTTTATACAAAAAAAAATTACTTTGAAAATGGTCAAATTTGAAAAAATGAGTAAAAATTGGGGTCGAAAATGTGTTTAAACTTATGTAGAACCTTCAAATTTCGTTTTTTCTTTAATTGTTTCGTGTATTCACTAGCCAGAGCTACAAACTACAAGAACATTTTTAACTTTTTGATTTCAGATGAAACTAGATAACACTGAAGTGGAAGTGGGCAGATCACGTGGTTAGAATGAGAGATAACAGATGGACAAAGCAGATACTGGAATGTAGACCAAGAGATATGCCTACCGAAGTAGAGTCGTCCATCAACATATTGTATTGGCGATCTAATAAGTTGTCATAGTAATTGCATGCACGAGGCACAAGATCGAAATAGATGGAAAATAATAAGGGATATCCATGTCCAGCAGTGGACAAGCGAAGATTGAATGATGATAATATACAAACAAATCAGGTACAAATCACAATTCTAAGACTCTTGAAGAAGACGTTGTAAGGATGATAGCGCTGTATAAAAAAAAACGTAGTTTGTCTCAAGAGTCATGTTAAACACCAAAAAACACATTCTAAATAAAAGAATGATTTACAATGGATGTGAAGGATAAGATTAAGAAAATTCCGGCCAATACAACCAATTCTACAATGATGTGATACCAAAGAGAAGATCCCAAAAAGGGGAAACATATTACACCATGAGGGACAAGCATAAAATTATAAAAGTTACTTTTTTAAAAATAATATAATGTTCACAACAAGGAAAACAGTGGAACCAGAATACACAAAACGATAGAAAAATGACCAAGCGAAGAAAATATAAGCTTGACAGTCAAGAACTTAATTATTATTATAGCACCTCAGATCTTCGGCAGATATTCAGAAGTTATTGACACATACAGAGATTTTCAGCTCACTTCCTTTGCATTTCGACTTATGAGCTTAAAACAGTCAGTCATTTCTAAACCAATCATGTTGATTTAGTAGTTCCTTTCGCACTATCTCAGGCTGATATGTTATATAAACAGATAACGAAAACTAAAACTAAATACTATAACTTCAAAAATATTTGCTAAAACTATTTTCACTGTTACACTAATTTTTATAGTGTATAGTAGAGTTTGAACAATATTATCTAAATTGTGTATTCATATATATTCAGTATAATTGCTTCCATTTTCAAGTCAGTTGTAAACTTTAAAATTTAATTTAATTTGAGACCGGCTTACCTGTCTACACGAAGGGATGAATAATCCAGCGACTAAATCAAATTGTCCGTCGATTGGTTCAGGATGGACGGTGTGATGTTTTCTTTTTTGACCAGCGTCTCGAATGACCTGATAAAAAGATAAAAATCAGACGATATGAACACAGCTGGAAAAAGTATGACGACTGGTATTATTATTTATTATATCGTGGTATTAAAAAATTACTAATTAAAACAAGTTCTTTAATACGCCTCGCTTTGGTTGGAAGACTACTCTCCCACGCAGCAAGTCAAAACAAATTTATCGTAACCTAACTTTTTGTTTATTATTTTCTCCGATTTAAAACAGAATAAAAAAATAAAAAAATTAGAATTCTTTTCAGCCCATTGAGGTCGCCTATTAGGGATCACCGTTACGGAGTCCTAGAAACATCTGGAATACTCGTTTGATACCCTAGATATCTCGAATAAGATATCTAGGTAAGTAATGGATAATCTGCGTTGACTTATTCTTTATCCGTGGGGGTATCCTCAGCAGTCTATTAATGTCTTATTAAAAATTCAATGTCATTAATTAATAATTAATGGTACTACCAAGGCCCACATTTCTTTCTTCTTCTTTTATCACATGAATGCATTTGTTCCAGTTTAAGGTAGTGACTTTCTGTAAAGCGTGTTTAAAAAGTTCTTTAATGTCTGCAAGTTTGTAAGTGGTGTTATTTTACGTCTCCTTTTACTTGCGCGTTAATCAACACTATAGGATTTAATTTACAGAGATAAGGCGGTAATCTGAGTACTGTAATATTAAGTTTGTAGGCCATTTCGTCTACGACACGCATTTTTGATGGGTGTGAGGGTATGTGTTTTCTACCGATTTGCATAGTCTAGAATTTTAGGTCATCTTCAAAGGATATATCTTTAACCTTCTGGTATAAATTTCAGTATTCATTCAAAATATTCTTCAAACATATCGGCGTTCATGTCCTCGTGGCAGTCTTTCATTTTTTTGGATTCAAATAGAAGCAACCCTTCTTAAGAAAATTCTCAAAACTTCAATGAGGGTAATTATAAGCCTTCTCTCTTTTCCCGACGGTGCTTTAATTCGTGTGGACAATTCCTCCAACACAGCTTGGCGGTTGCTTTTAACATTTTTGTCTTGCCATACCTTGGAAACCGTATGGCCTTCATTTATTAATTTCTTATCTAAATAATATATTCTTCGGTTTTTTCTCTGTGTGTTTAATTTTTCGAAAATACTGACTTTTTCAAGAAAGGACTTCCAGACTGTCCATTGACGTTGATTTTCTGTTAATGGTTCTACTGATGTCCAGCAAATCATCCATCTTGCAATGCGGCATGAATTTTTGGAATTGTTGGAATTTCCTTAGCAAAATAAAAGAATGAACCTCATTCGAATTACACTTTTAACAATTTCATTAATTTTCAGTGGTCGTCTCCCTGATTTTATAACAGAGTTCGTGATGACCCCTTTCTTGTCCTCTTTCTTATATTATAAATTGACCTCTTGGAACATCCTATATCCTTTGCGCACATCTCCACAACACTGTCCACAGAGCACTTTGGATTATCGTGTTGTAAGTAATGCTTTGAAAGCATTTAAGTTCAAGTTACTGTAATTTTAGTATTTTTTTTTGCATCAGCCAAATTGGCTATTAGCGAACAATAATTTCTATTACATTTATAATATTAGTTTAGATAGCATTTAAAACGTTAATTGAGGTTAAGAAACTTTTTATGTTTGAAATATTGCACTGTAGACCTAAAATATCACTTAGTTTGTTGGGTATACTGTACAATATGCGCTTTGGCGTTAATGCTGGACATTTCTCCAATATATGTTTGATTGTTATTTTTTCATCACAGTTGTCACATCTTGGTTCTTGTTTGTTGGAGAACACGTAGCTATTCGTTAGTCGCGTATGACCCAGTCGAAGTCGCGTTAATATTACCTGGTCTCTCCGACTTTTTGGTAATGTGGGCCAGGGTTTTATCGATTTTTTAACATCGCGTAGCTTTGCCGATGACACTTTCCACTTTTCTTCCCACATATATCGCACTTTAAATTTAACCGTTGCTTTCACGTCCGCACTCGTAAATGTCTTAGTACATTCCGCACTGTCACTACTTGCAGCTTCTTTTGCAGCGTTGTCTGCCTCTTCATTTCCTGGAATTCCAATATGGGATGGTATCCAAAATAATATAATATTTTTTCATTCAGTTGAGCGGTATGGATTTTTTCTTTTATCTTGATGACTAAAGGATTAGTTGGGTAGACATATTGGATTGACTGAACGGAACTTAGAGAGTCTGTGAGTATGATATAATTCAATATAAGGTTGAGTGTTCGAATAATTAAACTTTGAGGGTATACAAGGCAACTATCGAACACGGTGATTAATTTAATCTTGTCCAAGTACTTTCAATCAATAGATCATCTTCAGGGGCATTTCGTCAATTGTGGCCTATCCGACATAGTAGAATGTCATAAATGTAAAATTTGGACATAACAATACAAAATACAATACACTAAGACAAACAAACACTTTAAAATTTATATGGAGAAGCTACATATTGTATAGAAGCGGGAGACAGAATCTATCTCCCGCTTCTATACAATATGTAGCTTCTCCATATAAATTTTAAAGTGTTTGTTTGTCTTAGTGTATTGTATTTTGTATTGTTATGTCCAAATTTTACATTTATGACATTCTACTATGTCGGATAGGCCACAATTGACGAAATGCCCCTGAAGATGATCTATTGATTGAAAGTACTTGGGCAAGATTAAATTAATCACCGTGTTCGATAGTTGCCTTGTATACCCTCAAAGTATGATATAATTGGTGTTATTGGATGCATTGACAGCAAGGGTAGCCTGGTATAGAGCATACAGTTCAGCAGAGTAAATGGAGTACTTTGAAGGGAGTTTAAATTTATTTGTCGATGTTGGGGTTATGATTGCAGCACCAGTACCTTCATTTAATTTAGACGCATCTGTGTATATATGTGTATAATCCTTATAGTTGTGAAGCATATCGGTGAACTCGGATTTGATTAACTGTGGGTTTGTTGAATGTTTGTCGAAAGAAATGAGGCGGGTTAGGCACTGAGGATTTTTTATTTGCCATGGAGGAATTGAGGACAATTGGGAGGAAAAGCATTCTGGGAACGTGTAGTTTAATTGATTTAAATAGCTTCTAATCCTTGCGTAGAAAGGTTTGGCAGTTTTTGGCTTATTTATGAAGAGATTTGGGAACTGTTCTATAAAACAATTGTATATGGTAGGGTTTTTTGGGTTAGACCTGATTTTTGCGGCATATGCTACACATAAATAAAGTCTTCTGTCTTCTAAGGACGGTTCACCAACTTCACAATAAATACTTTCGATTGGTGTTGTGCGAAAAGCTCCAGATATTATACGTAAAGATAGGTTGTGAAGCCTGTCAAGTTTTTTTAGCAGTGTCTTAGTGGCTGTAGAATACACAGTAGATCCATAATCTAATTTTGATCTGATTAATGTTCTGTATAACATTAAAAGTGTTTGGCGATCCGCACCCCATTCATTATTGGCCAGAGTTTTAAGAACATTTAATCGCTTGTGACAAGATAGGATCAAATTTGTTATATGAAGTTTCCAGCTTAGATTTTCTTTAAAATGTCATGCCCAAGAATTTTATTGACAGTAGAAAAACAGAAACCTGTTTTTTGTGACCAGAGTTCTAAGTGTTTTATAAAGTTCTGTGTGTGACCAAATATGTTTTGTATATTTTTACCTTTGCAAAAAACTACAAGATCATCCGCGTAGACGCGTGCCTTTATGGTGATTTTAGATTTTTGAGAATATCATTCATTGCCACTATAAAGAGCGTAGGACTTATAACCGAGCCTTGAGGAATGCCATTTTCTAAATACATTATATCTGATGTTGTGTTGTTTGTCCTAACACTGAAAGCTCTATTTTGAAGGAAGTTTTTAATAAAGAAGAAACAGTGACCTTGGATGTTCCAACGATGTAACTTTTTTAATATATAATCGTGCCAGGCTGTATCGAAAGCTCTTGATATGTCAAAGAAAACCGCTAGACATTTATTCCTTAGTGCGAATCCTTCAGAAATGTCACTTTCCAAATCTATGATATTATCTATGGTTGACCTTTGCTCTCTAAAACCACTTTGTTCTGGAATAATTAAATCTTGTCTCTCCAGGTGCCATCTTAGTCAATTATTAATAATTTTTTCTAGTAACTTACACATGGCGCATGTTAAAGATATCGGTCGGTATGACTCGGAAAATTTTAGTATTATTTTAGTATAAACCAATTTTGAATATTTTTTTATTATTCACGGCAGCTTCGTTTAAAACAATTAAGAGATCTAATTAGAGTCATTTGAAAGAACATACTGTAAAGTTTTAATGTACCAAATTGGAAAAAGATTTTCTTTTAATGAAGATGTTAACTGTATCTTTAGGTCTTGTTTATCGATGTCAATGTTTCTTTTTTTAAATTGTACGTACTTTTTCCGTACATTACGGATATGCATTATATAAATAAATACATTGTTAAATAAACCATCTAATTTGTCTAAACAATTTTTTTCAATGTTATTTGTTATAGTAGTATTTCTTATTTGCTTAAGCCTTTATATTAAAAAAATAAAAATATATAGTAAACATTGTAATAGATAACACAAAATAATTATACAAAATATATATAATATTATAAAATATATTCACCTGAATTGTTTTAATTCCCGTGTTATTCGCCGACCTCCAGTTTAGTACCCAGACTTGGTCCAGGTGTGGTATGTGGTGCAGTTCCACCGGATATTTGTCCGTGCTGACGACGTCTACGACTACCATTTGGACTTTCGATATGATGATGACTCTGTCTCTTGTAGGTTGACTGGCGTACACATAACGGTTGGCTATGTTGATGGCTCTTCCCCATTCGCATTTGACACCCTTATCGCCACAAACGTATTCCTGGGAATTATTAAGGATTTAGTTTATTATTTAAGTTTAAGTCATTAAGTTTGGACCTGTCTTTAAATTGTCTTATTTATTCATTCTAATACAATGTTGTCAAATCTTATTTTACGCTCTGTGTCTATATATTTTGCATGGTCTTTTTTCATTGGTTTTAAAACTATTTTCATTTTTCAAAATCAACAAATTTTTAAAAATTATGAAACTCTAGATGTTGACTAATCAACAGAACCAATATTATGGAATGGTCAAGTGAGCCCCGTATATCGATGTTCATAAATAGGATTTATAAATCTTTCATTTTTGTTTTCAATTTCGAATCAATTTCAGCCCTAGATCAACACCATCTTTATACAGGTCACAAGATTGATTTTAGAAACTCCAGAACTATAGCCCCTATCCGCTTCTATAAACCAAGAATTATCCGAGAAGAAATAGAAATTGAAAAAAGCCAGATAGTCTCAATTAAAGAGATCCTTGTTCTGTATAGAAAATCCTGTAGTCAGAAATGTTCGCGCAAATCCTTGCGCCATTCCCCACGCTAACTCTGTAGCATTTTCAATTTCATTGATTCTTTTGAGTATATTGAAACCTCTTCGTATAAAAAAAATATATTAAAAACTCCTTATATATTTTTAAAAAATGAAACGAAGAATTTTTCCGTGTTGTTAGTTCGTATCTTTCAAAGTACCCAAAAGTGTTTCGTCGCCGAGTAATAAAACCATTTGAGAGTTGTTTATTTTACTTCGGCAATTTCTTTTCAAGTTTATGCGTCGCAAAAGGATATGTACGCCGTTTCGTTGATTTTGCTATGTCAAGTGTTTGTTTATGTTCAAGTTATGCGATCAATTTTAATAGATAATTTCGTCACTATCGTTGGAGCCGCGGTGAAAAGCGGTCAACGTTATGTCCGAATTTGACTTCAAATTTGAGATGTTCCTCGTTGTTTGTATTTTTTTATGAAGACGTTTGTTCGTTTTTTTATGAAGAAAATGTGTAGCAGTGTGAAGTTAATGGTTCAGTAAATATTTGAGTGAGGAATGGAAGAATCGTCGATTCCATCCTCGTTTTGTTTCTCCCTGGTTATCATCCAAGGCTTTTGGCAGTATGGAGATAGATTTGTTCGAGATATGAAGATATGGAGATAGATAGTTGTGTTCATTACACAGAGAGTAAAGCCCTCAGTTCCAGTTATGGTGTCGGATATTCTAGTGGCGTCTGGTTCCATAAATTCTAGTGTATTTTGTTAGTGAAAATCCAGGTAACTTTTTGATCAAATTTTAAAGTAAAGCCAGACAATTTGTTTTGAATTAAATAGTTGCTTTCGTTGACATTTAAAATTTTAAATTTTAGATTTTGAGTTGAGCTGTCAATTTCTGTGTTTAGTTTTTTTTTAATTTAATGTTAACTTGTGACAGCTCGTTTTTTATTATTTTTTTGGTTATTAGTTTGTTTTATTTTTAAACAAGGTTAATCTCCATATAAATTTGTAGTTTTATGTAGTATCTCCAACTCCTGGAGTTTGTAAGCGGATGACACGTAAGTTTTTTTGTATTTTGAATTTCTCTATTTTGTAACTGTTTGTGGTGACACATACAAACTGGTGACAAAGGTTAAATTTTGTTGTCCTAACATTTGTTTATTTTTTTTTTGAGCTAACCCTTTTTGAGTTTATTTAAAAAAGATATGTTTTTTATGTTTTGATTTTGTTTTATAATTATTTCCCTAGTTACAACTAGTGGTTGTAATAGGCATAATTAGGCACCTCAAGTGGCGCCCTATATTAAATTCCTTGAGGTGTTTCTTGTTTATTTTTATTTTGTTTATCCCAAAAGCCCTCTATTTCATTTTTTTGTAGTTCCTCCATTCCAATGCCCTTATCTTTTACTTATCCACGACCCCAGCTCTCCTACAAAACCCTGAGTGCCGTTCGCATCAGTAGCGATTATTTTGCTTGCCCTATCTCCACCCGCAATAGTTTCTTTCCCCAATTTCTACCCCTTGTATTAGTACCCCGTGTGGTAGGCAAAATATTGTCGTTACAACTCACACACCAAATAAACAAATTACGTCACCATTGACGATATAAATAATCCGTTCTCTGTTCCCAGTAGCACTAATGCATTGATTAGTGATCAGTGTAGTAGTGTCTGAGGGCTCAGAAGACTGAGACATCGGAAACTCCGAAAAATACGGAAAAATGCATCGAAGAGGATGTCGAAAGCTCGGGTCAATGATAATCGACGCGTTTCAACCCGAAAGTTTGTTGAGTTAAATATTAATTCTTGTAACAATATTAATCTTAGCTCTAGGTTTAATTGTACGAACCGTGGAGATTTTTCAGAACATTGTAGTTTGCAGTAAGCTTGAATTTGCAATTTACTTTTATGAGAAGTGTCCTGACTTCATGTTTATTTTATAGAGGTCGCCTTTAGCAGACACTAGTATAATATGTTATAATAATTGCCAAGTAGATGGACCGTTTCTTTTCAATTTGAGTGCACAAGCTCTCCTGACGAGTGGAAAATCATGAAATACGGATAGGAGAATGCTGACTAGACATAGCGCAGTAGATACCGTCGAATTACTACGATAGCGAAGGACGAAAGACAGTCTGGTTTATAAACTGGTTGATTATACTTACTAATATTTATATATATATATATATATATATATATATATATATATATATATATATATATATAGTCCCAAGATTCCTAAGAGGAACATAGGGCTTCCACAAAGTGTCTCCAGCGAACTCTATTTCTGGCTAGTGCTTTGATTTCAAGCCAGGATTTTCCCATTGTTCTCCCTTCGTCCAGTACTGTCCTTCTCCAAGTTCCCTTAGGTCTGCCTACTTTCCGTCGGCCTTGGGGATTCCAATCCAGCGCTGTCCTCGCAATGTCATTTGGCGGTCTACGGAGTGTGTGGCCCAGCCATCTCCATTTTCTTCGCCTTATTTGCTTTATGACATTTTCTTGGTTGCTTTGGTTCCATAAATTTTCATTGGAGATTCGGTTAGGCCAAAATATACGAAGGATTTTTCGTAACGCTCTATTGATGAAAACTTGTAGTTGGTGTACTATGGGTGCTGATATCTTCCACGTTTCGCAGCCATACAGTAATACAGCTTTTACATTTGTGTTGAAGATTTTTAGTTTCGTTTTAGTTGGGTAAATCCTGGACTTCCATATGTTGTTAAGCATGTTGTAGGCGTTGCGAGCCTTATTTATTCTTTCATGTACATCACGATCTGTACCCCCATTACAGTCAATTATGCTGCCCAGATATACAAATTCCGTTACTCTCTCAATTTTCTGGTCGTTGATCATAATAGGTTGGTTGTTTCTGGTACCAAATCGCATTTCTTTGGTTTTGTTGGTGTTTATTTCTAGACCAACCTTCTTTGATTCTTCTTGTACTTTGTTTACTTGGAGTTGCATGTCCTGTTTTGTATGTGCTAGGAGGCATATATCATCAGCGTAATCTAGGTCTTCCAGTCTGTTTGTTAATCCCCAGTGAATTCCTCTATTAGAGTTTGCCTTTGTTACTTACTTTACTTACTAATATTTACTATTAAAAAATTCACTTCTCCTCATTAAACTTAAAAAATCATTGACAATATATAAAACTAAGACTATCATTTTTAACTTTTAGTTTATCATTACGAACCAATTATATAATGAATCTAATTGCCTTACTTGTGTTCCTGGTATAATGTCGGTAGATTGTATCCTGTGATAGAGACGACAAGTGGACGGCTCGTACACGGATATTCCCCAATCGTGGAAGGCAAAAAATCGACGCTCTTCGTTAGGGGAGCCTGCAATTAAGGACAATATGTTAAATCAATACCAGAAAACAATCGACTCATTTGCATTTAGCAATTAAGTTCGTTAGAGATCTCTATGCGTAATTACGGCTTTAGTGTTTTTATGAATTAACTAACGAGAATATCTTTAAATCGGTTCGGAGCTATAAAATAATTATAATTAATGATTTAATAAAATAACATTTTGATGAGCTTTTTGATGCGTTTTGACTAATAATGTGCTTTCTAATTAAAACGAAATTGTACATTATTACTAATTTTATTATTAATACAACATATTTTGTCGGAAACATGTTTATTTCATTATCGGAAATATTTTGTAGTATTATTTACTTCTGTAAATATGTAATTATTACTTTTTGAAATCCGCTTAGACCACTGCTCCACTTTCAATTCGATACCGGTGTGCTATTTAACGAAATCGATATATACTTACACATCATCCAGCTAATATGACTTGATCATCAGGAGTATAAAGTGAAAAATATATAGACATATAAATCATCATTCAATCTTCGCTTGTTTACTGCTGAACATAGATCTCCGTCATAATGTTCCATCTGTTTCGATCTTGCATCCAAATCCTATGGCAACGTTTTAGATAGCCAGTCCAACATATTGATGGACTACCTCTACTTCGGTAAGCATCACCCTTGGTCTCCATTCGAGTATCAGATTTGCCCATCTGTTATCTGTCATTCGAGTCACGTGATCTTTCTAGTTCCACTTCAGTGTTGCTATTCTCTCTACAGCATCAGCCACTCCTGATCTTTGCCATAGCTGGCGGTTTGGGATCTTGTCTTGCATTAAAACGCCCAACATAGCACCTTTAAGCATAGCACACGGATATTTTTCACTGTTCTCCTTATCATAGTCAATTTGTCCGCTCGGTAGGTCAACAATAGCAAAACACACTGGTAAAACGTTTTTCATTTTACCAAGACATATTGGTATGTCAAACAATTTGCAAATATGGTTTAAGTTGCCGAATAGGTCTTGTTCCTACGCATATATTTTCAGCTGACTACAAGATTTGTTATTATCTTCGGTTTTAGATGTATTTATCTACGTTTGCAGATGATTAATATATAATATTTTTTCATTTATGTTTATGCCTTTATATTCAATTTTGCTCTTTTACATATATATTTAAAGAGGACAGTAAACAAGTTGTGGTGATATGGTGTCCCCTGACGTACTCCACGTTGTAGCTGAAGTTTCTGGGTTTAAAATGTATAAATAGAACGTGGATATTAATCCAAGCAGCCGCAGTAATACCATCTTTGAAACAGCTTAAAGAATCGAAAGGTAAAAAAAGGACTGGATGACAGAGAAAATCATAATGCTCATGAATACTCGAAGAAAAAGAAAATATTAAATCTTAAATTATTGTAAAAAGCTAACAATAAAACGAAAAAAAAACAAAGAAAGCACTTATTTAGGTATTAATAATTAGGTATTTAGGTATAGAATAATTAAATCGTAAGCGACATCGAAGAAAAGATTAAGCTATGGAAGAACTAAATTGAAATCCTTCTTATAGAAAGAAGAAAGATGTCTTGGCTGCGAAATTTAACAGACTGGTTGGGTTGTAAGTACAATCAGCTGTTCCATGCACCTATATCTGAGATTCAAATAATAATAATAGCTAAACTTACAAAGTTCTACTTCTCTAACAAGAAGCAGATTTTTTCTACTACAAATCCTCAAAAAGGCTTTAACAAGCTAGTTGCCGTGTTTTTTTCCCAATTAAATAATTTAAATTGTTGTGTATGTTCAAATATAATTTGCACAAGAATGTTACGATAGTTCTTTGAATTCTACACTCTTCCTTATTAAAGATTTAAAAGCTTTAAAGATTATGAGATTTAAAAACAAACATGACTTCTCCATATTTTATAAACCTACTCATACTGACATGACCATACACAATTCATCATTCCATCCCACATAATATAAACTGGCAGTCTATCATAGTATGTTACATAGATTAACAGAAATTCCGATCTTAAAATTCAACTTTGAGACAGAATTAAATATCATTAGGCAAATAGCAGTAAACAATGGATACAACGAATAAACATTTATTAAAATTTTAAATCAAAAACTACACAAAAAAGCCCTGAAATTAGTATTTCCATCACCAGAGAAAAAACCAGTACCTTCTGCCCGATTACATATACAGGCAAAATATCAACAAAAATAGCCAAATACATAAAAAAGAAAGGAATAACACCAGCTTTTAGAACAAATAACAACTTAGGCAAATATATTAAAAACAACAAGAGCCAAAATAAAAAGCACTTACACAGTGGTGTATACAAACTTAAATGTGGCGACTGCCCAAAAACTTACATCGGTCAAACTGGTAGAAATTTTAATAAACGAATAGCAGAACATAAAAGGGCTTTCAATAATAGAAAAACAGATTCTATATACGCACTTCACCTTCTAGATTAAAATTCTTCACATTCAAAATAAAGGCATTAAGCTATCTTTGTTAGAATCTATGGAAATTAACAAATTAAGAAAACACAGTTCTACCCTCCTCAACCTATTTCATTAAAGACTATAAAGTGTAAACGCATGCCAAAAATAGATCACTTGAGAAAGGCAATCAGCCGAAACAGCTGTAGTGTTAAGATTATATAATAAATTTTTGTGGAAGTTTTGAAAACAAAGTTTTCAGTGTTTTATTGTTATATAAAATACATTTCCATCAAGTAACGGTCGAATCTATCAATTATATACTTATACACTAAAATATTCTACCGTTAAGACTAAAAGGACTACTTACTTGTAGTTGGTTGTTCTTGTATAACCAATGAACTGATATCGCGAGTCAATCCACCTAGAATAAAAAAAGGTGTACAATTAACTACAAAACTGATAATAGGGTTGAAATGGATTAATACTGTTGTGAACTAGTGACTGCATAATTTTCAACATGTTATCAGAGACACATTTCATATTCTTGAAATAATGTGGTTAAGAAACGTTTAAAAACAACTGAATATTTGAATAATCCAAATACACAATATAAAACAAAAACAATGATTTTTTAAATGTTTTTACTGTATGTACATGCACTTGAAATAACTGTGACTTATGACAGATTTTAAAAATAGTGTTATTTTTTTTATTGTAGCGACAAAACTTATATCGGAGATAGATATATCTGGATGCCAATATATCTAATCACTTACCGATGCTAGTAGCCTGGCACATGTACGCCCCAGTATCTGCAAATTCGATGTTCCTTATCCGAAGTGACGTTCCATTGCCGATGATTTGATACTTACGGGAGCGATCCATCTTCAAAGGCTCGTTATTTTTAAGCCACTCCACCTAATAATTAAAATAATATAAATATAAAACTATAAAAACACAATAGTTGTCGTTACATGTCATAAATTATCTTATGTCATATTTCTAAACTTGCCATACAAGCAGAGATATATATTTCATTATCATCACAATTTCCTTTTCAATATTAGTGATATTTTTATTTGACGGCATTGCTTCATTTTTCTGAAAAAACTGTTATCAGTCACTATTTTTCGTTATATCTGCCTCGAAAGTTTACTTCTTCTTTCCCATGTAACTTTAAAAGCTACATTTTGATTTGTTATTTTTAAAAATCTCTTATATTACTAATTGCATTAGATTTCGTTTACTTGTTTACTATTTTTTGCTACTAGGCAGTATAAATTTACTTACTTTGGGAAATGGTTCACCTGCTACGTGGCACAACATGTAAGCGTCTTCGCACGGTCTTTTGGACTGCAATCTGGGTGTCACATGTACTTCGGGTACGGCTGAAAATTTAATAATGTCATGAGGCCGAATTAAGAAACATGGTGTTTAAAGCAGAAGATTGCAATAGCATTTACAACCTCACCAAAATGCCCAAATTGCGGAGGCGAACATCCCGCATACTCTAATCGATGCCAGAAAAGGCACGAGCAACCACAAAACTCCACTCAAGTCCAATCCCTATCGATCGAAAGATCAACTCCACCATTCGACCTAACCACAGATCTGAAAAACATAATCAAACTTAACACAATTGTGTTACTAAACATCCTTCCCGAAAGAAGAGACCTGATCGCATCTATCACCAGCTCTGTGATCGAAAAAATCTTTGGTCTTACAATCGTCTTGTCTGGCCAAAACAATAAGGTCGAAATGATCTTCCACCCCAACTTCTAAAAGCCTGTCTATGGATTTCACAATAGGAGCAGTAAATTGCCAAGGGATCTCCAAAAAGTCACCCCAAATCAAACATATCCTGCAAAATCACAACATCCAAATTTTCGCAATCACAGACACTCCCTGTCGAAACACTCCGACCTTTGCAGAATATACAACAATCTATCGAAACCGATGTCAGGTTTCCCGTGGGAATGGTATTCTTATCAAACATGGATTACCACACTCCTCCACAAATTTCCGCAAAACATACCCCCTCCCAACGTGGACTTCCTGGTAATAGATCTACACCTTCCAACAACAAACCCTTACGATAATCTCTTACTACAGGCATCCAGCGAACCCGCTTTCTCTAGAACTTTTAGAATATTTCTCTACTCTAAATAAAGCAATCCTCATGGGCGACCTGAACTGTAGACACGCCCAATTTGGAGAGCACTTAAGTAACCCTGAAGGCATCCGACTAACGGAAACACTTCTAGACCTTCCAATCATTAGAATCACCAACACCGATTACAGGTTTCTGAACGCAAATGGGATATCCATCCCGGACCACATCATTGTTACTATGGTCTGTTTTTTAACCAGGAGGAGTAATTCAAATTTTCCGCGCCGTAATGCTTGTTTGCAATTGGTCCAACCGCAGGCAAGTTTACTCCACTAAATTATGACATATTGACACTAATGACATTTGTGAAATTTATTTATTATTATTATTTTCCTCTAATATATAAATCGATTTCTGACTCTTTAAGTTGTTTGTAATAACTTGGACTTGGTGATATGCGAATAGTATTTAATGTGATATTTTTCTAGATGATATTTATACTAAATATAGTTTAAAGTGTTTATAAATTATAAATGTATGTTATTTATATCTAATTATCATAAGAAAAACGGCAACTATCTTTTAAATTTAGTGTATACTTGTTAAGAAGCATTTCCATTTTGTTTTCATCACAATAAAAGAACATTAGTAAAGTAATGTTGTGTTTTAGTTTGATTGTATGATACAGTTGGTTTTGTTCTTCCTGGTTGTAGATCATCACAAGAAAACTGCAAAATTATGCAAGAATGTAACATAATAGATTGGATTTGTTGATTATCTCACAGAAATCCAGTATTTTTTAGTAAATTTTATTTGTTGATAACAAATGGACAAACTCACTGTCAAAATTAAACAAGAATCAGCATTAAAGAAATTGTAAGTACACACTTATTTATAAATTTAAAATATTCTCTATATATAGTTTTATTATTAAAATATTCTCTAAATTATAATTAAATACCATAGACTTAAGAGATCTATAAAACTGGATCACCGATATTTAAATATATATATACATGGGACCAAATGTGAAAAACGTCCTTTTTTTATTGTAATATATATTGGAAGTGAATTGAAAAAAATTATTTTATTATTCAAACATAAATAAACAAAGTTAGGTTAAAATTGACGTGTGAGGTTGTCCAATATTGATTACTCGATTACCGCAAGGCCGAGATAATCAACAAAAAAAGAAGATGTATTTGGTGACTTTTCTAGTAACTTTCTTGAGTGTGAATCTGTCTTTTTGGTTTACTGCTCCTGGTTAAAAAACAGAGTATAGTAGCGTGATGTATAGTGTGGGCGAAACGTCGAGAACTAATCTCAGAAGACAACAGCTTAACAGCCCAAACAAACAGTTTAACAAGTTAGACGATGGCCGTGAAAGCCTAACGCATTGTATTCCATTTTGTTGTTTTGGTAGATGTTTTCGATAGTTTTATAATATGTAGACGAACTTCTCCATTATACAGAAAATGGATCTTCCACTACGAAAACACTGTTGATTATCTGCTAAACTTATTCTCTGATTTATTAGCATACGTAAAATTTTAGTAGTAAGTTTTAGCGTAGTTAACGGAAAAGAAAATTAAGATTTGAAAAATTAGTTTACGGATTTTAGCGTAGTATTTACAAGTTTATACCTCTGTAGTTTTTCTGTCTATTTTTTATCTTTTTTTTTAATAGTAGAATTATTTCTCTCGTTCTCCATTCTTCCGGTATTTTATTGTGTTTTATAATTTTATTAATTCTGTCATTGCTGCTCCACAATATTTCAGTTATTCATTTGATATCCGTCGTTACCTGCTGCTTTTCTGTTCTTCAGATTTTCAAGTATTTATCGAACTCCCAGTACATTTCTATTAAGATCTTCATTTCTCGTAATTTCTGGTGTTTTAGTTCTAGCGTCGTTTGTTCTTCCTCTGCATAGAGCTCTATTCTTTCTCTAATAAGCACTAGGCGTTAAGATGTTTTTGGTTGTTGGTAAATCTTTTAATACTATAAAACTGGAAAAAACAATGAAATAACCACATACGCATACCAGTGTGGTCAAAATAACAAGAGATAAAGAGGAAGTAGATGAAGAAGAAAAAGAAGACGAAATTGTATGTTCTTTTCTAAGAAACTTAAGTGCTTCTTAGTGATAATATTCTACAGATTGAACGAAATAAATTCGGAACATAGGAATATAATGTATTTCGGCTCAATTCTGCTGTAGCTGGTTGGCCAACAAAAGATTGTCAAATAATTATATTATAAAAAATCCCATACTTCAGCGGGCTGCTGGATTCTGAACTCATAAAAATTGAAAGCTACACATAAATCTACGATTTTATTATGCTGTCAAACCAGTTATAGTCCAGGAAATGTAGCATTTCACCTCGCAATTTTTTCGTGCGGCGTGGATTGACTTGAAATTTAACAGAAGGTAGGTAATAGCCTAAGGATCAAAATCTATATCGAACCAAAGTGCGCCAAAGCCTAGGGGGTGGTTGCCACCCCATCTCCGGGGTGAAATTTTTTTTTACGTTTTAACTACAGGTTTCGATTAGAAAAGTGATTCTAAACAAAAAATGTGCTATACATTTTTTATAAAATGAATTTTTCAAGTTATTCGCGATTGAAAGTAACAACTTTTAGACGAAAAAATCCACGTTTTTAATCGATTTTTCGCGAATAACTCGAAAATGGTGCATTTTATCAAAAAAATTGTAGAGAACAAATTTGTAGCTTTTAAAAAGACAAATACAATTACAAATACAATATCAATGTTCAGCGGTTTTCTTCAAATGCCAAATTTGAAAGATTCAAAGTCAAATATCGGGAAAATGATGCATTTTTGGAAGAAAACTCACAAAACCTTTTTTAAAGAGCATAAATAGACCTATCATAAAAAAATAAGGTCAATACCTCATTTTTTACGAAAAAATCGAGGAAAACAACACCCTAACCACCCCCATAATTAAAATCGATCTTCACCCTTCTGCAATTCCCTTTGTAGATGTATTGTTAATACGTCCAAGAAGTTTGACCCATTAAAAATGCTTAGTTTTAGAAAAAGTACAGCTTAAAGCGAGAAACGATTTACAATTTCATATTTTTTACCCTTCTTTTTTTAAATATGCCCGAAAATACTGAATATATGAAAAAAATAAAAATTACCAAATTGTAGCTTTTTTAATGACTAAAATTATACTTTATTTAGATTTGTTGTACAATGAATATTTGGCGAGATATAGCCGTTTAAAGCATCGATTTACGATCAAGCACCATCTTTTTCGAGCCCTTTAAACTCACCCCATTTAAAAACCAAGGGTTCCAAAAAGATTTAATTTACAGATCCTTGTAGCTAATAAAAACCTCTACAAATCGTTTTTGAAGAAACACTCTATCGTTAAAAATTAAAGGAAATACGTTAAAAAAACCAGTTAATTTTTTTCCGGAAAATTCCATTAGTATAGTACAGTACATTTCGGAGCATAATAATCTACAAAACCGGTATATTAGCTAGTGGGGCGTTATACATTCGAAATTTTAAGCGTTCTTATTTTGAAATCCCATACAACAGAATAAAACATCTGCTCATATGTCTATGGCTTGGCAATGAAAATATCAGAGCAACAGATTGGGGATGGTATTCCAAAGATGGTTTGTTATTACCCGTACGCATGAACAAACAACCTGCACCCGATAAATTTTTGAAAATTATTTTTTGCCAATGCAAAAAAAGATGCGGCGTTTCATATGGGTGCAGAAAAGTTGGTTTATACTGTAACTCTACTTGTTCTGGGTGCTCAGGTGAAGGGTGCAATAACAGTCCACCAATAATTGAAGAAGATGAGGATGACATAGATCACGATGAAGATGTAATTGATGACGAATAAAATTAATATTATAATTGTTTTACCTATAAATGTAAATATTTTCAACTATTTATGTAAATGTATAAGAATATATGGTGCCTTTTTATGTTGATAATTTTTTTTGTATTTAATTCTACTTTTTTCAATTTATATCTTATAAATTAGTTTATAAAAACTGCAATGTTGTAAAGGGTGATTTTCAAAAGTTGAAAAGTTGCAAAATTTTGGCAAAAAATTGTTTTCACCTATAGCACTCATAACAATTGATTTTTAAGGGTTGAAAATATATGAATTTGTATTTTAAAGTATAAAAAACTCACTATTTAACTAATCCAAACCAAATTTCACTCATCTTAAGATTTGTAATATTATTTTACAATTTTTTAAAATTAAGGGTAGTTTTCACCCCTAAGAA